TAACCACTATTGCTAACGACAATGTGTTGATAATAGGCTCCGGCAGAGCTTCACTAATACTTCCTATGGGTACGAAATTAATCATCAATGATGCATTATTATATCCAGAATCCAAACGTACCCTTCTTAGTTTTAAAGATATTCGGTCTAATGGTTTTCATATTGAAACCGAAAATGAGAATGGTGCTGAACATCTTCTCATGACTCAGTCAATTGGATGTCGGAAGCAAGTTGTAGAGAAGCTTCCATCTTTCTCCTCAGGATTGTACTACACATATATCCGACCTAATACTAACCATGTTGCGATGAGTTTAAAATTTATAGATCCAAATTCATTTAAATTATGACATGAGCGATTGGGTCATCCTGGGCAAATAAGATGCGTCGGATAATATTAAATTCAATTGGGCATAATATGCCAAGCAGCAATGTCCCCTCTTCTTTAGACTATATTTGTGAGTCTTGTGCTAAAGGAAAACTTATAGTTCGCCCTTCTCGTACTAAAGTGAATATTGAATCTCCCATTTTTCTTCAAAGGGTTCAAGGAGATATCTGTGGACCCATTCATCCTGCATCAGGACCATTCAGATACTTTATGGTCTTGATCGATGCCTCTACTCGATGGACCCATGTCAGCTTGTTATCCACTCGTAATAATGCCTTTGCTAAATTAATAGCAAAGATCATTGAATTACGAGCTCAATTTCCTGATTTTCCAATTAAATCTATTCGTATGGATAATGCTGCCGAGTTCACATCCAAATCATTTGATGATTTTTGTCTGGCATTAGGCATTAAAGTAGAGCATCCGGTTCCTTATGTCCACACTCAAAATGGTTTAGCAGAATCGTTAATTAAGAGGATCAAATTAATTGCTAGGCCATTATTACAAAATTCAAAACTACCTATTTCTTGTTGGGGACATGCCGTTTTACATGCTGCTGCGTTAATCCAAATCTGACCCTCTGCATATCATGATTATTCCCCCTTACAACTAGTGCGTGGTAAAGAACCAAACATTTCCCATCTGCGTATTTTCGGATGTGCAGTTTATGTTCCAATATCGCCACCCAAGCGTACCTCTATGGGCCCTCAACGAAAACTAGGTATATACATTGGTTATGAAACTCCGTCAATTATAAAATACCTAGAACCCATGATAGGGGATCAATTTACTGCTCGGTACGCTGATTGCATATTCGATGAAGATCATTTCCCGACATTAGGGGGAGATAAACACCAAAAATTAAATGAATGTCGGGAAATATCGTGGTATGAAAAAGATCTTCAATATTTAGATCCACTAACTAGTCAGAC